CAGTGTTTCTCTCTCTCTGACGAACTCCCAACAACCAATCACAAGAAAGAACCTGCGAAGATCAGAATTGGAATTCACACTGATGATGAGCCACTCAATCGATTATCATAACAGAGTTTGTTCCAGTATCTCGCCACTCTCAGAACTCACACCCCACTCTCTATCCTACACCCAGCTAGTAGCGCCACACCAACCAGCCTCCCAGAGGCCAGCGCCAACCACCCTGATGAAGAACAGGTCCTGCGATGAAGTCTTCAGTGTAGATGGACAACTCTGACGAAGGAACAGGCAGCTATGGCTGCCACCACCCTCGAGTACACAGTGTAGAGCCTCGATATAGTCCGGCCAGACACAGATACCCCCAGGGGTAGATGCGCTGAGGATGCCCCAGCTCTGGCAGACTCAGACTGGGCCGGCTATGGTTGTTGTCAACGGCGAGGTCTCAGGATGCCGCCTGCAGACAGTCACCGCCACCAACTTGCTTGGCTTCTCCAACGCTGCTTCGCGAGAAATGAACTGCCAAAAGTCCTGAACCGATGGGCCTAACCTATCTATAGACTACACTAGCCCTAGACCGGACTGACTGACCGACCGGTACCGTTGCTGTTTCGGCCTCTCGGCCTCTACCGGACCCGGCTATAGGCTATAGGACCATCTATCAGCATAGGCCACTTAGGGCCTGTCTGTCCTAGGGGTAGCCCGGGCCTGCTATTCGCAGTTAGGGTAGTAGTAGGAAATTCAGTTAGTGTTAGGGCTGTGTTTTCCCAAATTTACAGATATGTCCCCCACGAATTTCCTCACAGGTAGGTCTCTCGGTTAGCCCTCAGCCAAACAAAGTTACAAATCTAACCCTCCCGGTTAGTGTACAGCCTCGCAGTCAGTCTCGGCAGTAGAATTCAGCAAGTCATTGCAACATGCGTATACTTGAAGGGGCTTCCAACAGCTCCTCCTGGCGAATTCTCAATCACATCATCTCACCCCACCCCCTGCCTATCCTCAATGACACCATCTCGGCCCTCGGAACGGAGTCTCGCACACACACATACATGCACTGGCCCACGCATATGGGTTTATCACAAATGTATTCAGAAAACACAGCAAACAGACCCAGAATAGGAATCTTGAGCAAACAGATCAACAGTGCACTGTTTTTTCCGAAAATTTCGGAGTTCTTGGACTGCAACTATGTAGGTCATTTCACACAATGCAAAACAAATGATTCTGAAAGAAAACAATCGCAGTAAAAGAACGAAAAAGTCTCAGTGGAATAACAGGACATCTAGTAGTCTGTCTAATTTAACAAAATCCTTCTCAATTACCAGGATGGTCAGTCAGTTCAATGATGGTATGTCAAGGCAGCTGCCGCTCAGAAGACTGGGGGGAAAAAAGGAAAGTGCAGCTGCACATTGGAGCCTGAGCGCTACGCTCAGGGCATACTCAAGTGAGCACATTCCTGGACGCATCTGACTTCTTTTGCTGCCCGACGTTCCACAGGTGAGTTGAAAAAGTCCCATGAGGACTTTCTTGGACGCATATGCCCAGGGGAAACAAATGGGCAAACTGAGCACCTATGCAAGGAAAATGAGCAATAGCGAGATGACAATGTCCAGAATGCACAATCACATCGAAGGCCAGATAGTATCAGTGTCCAAGAAGCAGAAATGCACCAATATAACACCAATGAAGAATCGTAACACTGAAAACCAATGTCAATGAGAGCTTGCTCTCGCCACCAACAACATGAGTGTGAGCGCACACACACACTCACTCACTCGACACGACCGAGGGTCGGATGCAGATACAGTGTCAAAGACACAAAGTCGAAGTCTTGGATTCAGAATGCCAAAACAGGAGCAAGTCACACTGAGTACGAGCACAACAGCTGAAAACTGGTACCCGACTGGTCCCCGTACCGTACGAGGAGCCGGTATGAGTACTGATGACACGTACGGTACCAGGGGCATTTCTGCAAAGGCCCCGAGGGCAGAAATGAAAAATGCGGTAATTGAAAGTGGAGCCCGAATTGCAGAATGACGCCAGTTGTCCAAAATCCTACAGTACCAAAGGAGGGGTTTGGAAAAAGGGTGCCAGGCCGAAAACAGGATGCAGCCGAAACAGCAAAAAGATAGACCAGGGATCGAGCCCTGGCAGAGTCCGTAACATCCTCGACCTCCTCTACCTTGGCCTCTACCTTGTCGGCCCCCTCACGGGCTGCAATTGCCGCATAATCCCCTCCCCAGGCTACTTGGCTGTTGTTACCTTCCTTTAGACGGTAGGTCATATGATAATGACTCTACACCTCCTTTGAAGGTGACCTGCAAGTTATCCTTTCCCTCGATACTGTCAGATATAGTTTCTCTTCTTCCACCTCTTACCGGCCTGCAAGTCCTTCCAATAGTGGCAATTGTTTGCCTTTTGCAGGAACCCGGCATGGTCCACAACTATCTTGCTGAACTTCTCATAGGTCATCCCCTCCTCTTTAGTAAGGGGATATAATTGGGTCCTGAGGGGCTCTAGCAGCGCTCTAGTGGATGTTAAGAATCTGAGCGGGGATCAGTCCATGTTCCGGACATTGCAGCAGCTCGTCCATAGTGGCTTTGAGTGCCGATGCACTCTTCCACTTGCGGCCACTTATATCAAGGATGAGGGACTCGGTACGGCGAGCTAAATTCTTGTCCTCGTAGCCGTCTTTCAAAGCCTTGAAGAAGTCCTCAATCCTAGTGCGCTGTGAGCATTGCACCATCGAGGTGCATCTGGCCTCCTTTACGAGTGAACACGAACTTGCCATAAGTACAGGGTCCCAATACGGAATCAACTGCGCGTACAAGTACGTGTCCATCGCCACCTCCCAATGAAAAATACTCTCCTCCTTCCCAGTATACGTCCAAGGGAGCTTAACCTTCATCTTCTCCCTTCGTTCTCCTCCCTCAGACTTGTCTCCTCCACTCTTTCCTCCATCCTTCATGGGGCCCTTACCCTTTTTGTCATCATCCCCGTCGTTGCCACTATCTCCACCCCCACCACATGGACTAGTCAGCTTCTGAGTGAAGAGGTCATCTAATTGCTGCGCATACAATATGATCCTATGATCAACTTGATGGGACGATACACTAAGGTAATTGTTCCAGGTGTTCTCAAATTCCTGGTGCTGCTCTATCGTCCCAACGGCTCATTGTAGTGCAGAGAGTTCCTGGGTGGTGTGCAGTCGGGGAGAAGGATCCAGCGTTCCTCAGTTTCCACTTGTTTTCCCTTTTGCTCCCTTAGCAACGCTTGGAGTCTTTCTCCCTCCTCTTTTAACCTTTTTTTTTCATCGCATTCTTTCCTTTCTGAGGCCAGCAAGTTCTGATTGAGCTCACTTCTTTTTTCATCTATCAATAAACTATTCTCTTCCTGATCCTTGGTTGCTGCCAACTTTGCCACAAATTGATCCCTCTGTTTGTCGGTTTCCTCCGGAAGCTCTGTCCTGAACCACAATTTTCCACCCAGTCCCACTCCTCAACCTGCTGAAGTCGTAGTTCCCCAGCATGGCTGCTCTCTGCCATCTCCTTCCTCCCAGCTGTCTTCTTCTCTCCAACTTCCACTTCTTCTTCTTCCTCCTCTTCTTCCTCCTCTTCTTCTTCTCTCTCTCTCTCTCTTTCTCTCTCTCTCTCTCTCTCTCTCTCTCTCTCTCTCTCTCTCTCTCGCGCGCGCGCGCGCGCGCTGTGTGGGCAACAGGCAGCAGCGGCGGGTGCACGTCGAAACGGCCGCTTTGAGATTGCTCCAGCAGCCTGTGTGAAACCCGCCACCCCAAAAACCTGCAGTGTCTTGTGTCCGGACCTCTAGGCCCTGTCCGATGGGGTGAAACGACACTGCAAAATCACCCCATTATTTTTCAAGGGGCAGCCAGGACCCTAAAAACGTCCTGGGCCGCTTTATTTTTTTCGATTTTTGTCCTGCGACATAAGGACTGGACACCAGACACCGGACATGTTGTTCTGGACTCTGGAGCCCGGTTCGGACTTTCGGTCGGTTACGATGGGAATTACACTAGGAATTAGGCCAGGAATGCGGTAACGGAAGACAACAAGGAGGTATGTCTCCCTTCCAATCCAGCTCTCTCTTGCAGAGGTATCAGATAGTCAGGTCTGGAAGGAGTGAGCAGTCCGTTCTGCATGAAATGGAAAGCAGACTGGACTACCTCTTCTGCTTTAAGATCTAGATTCAAGCAATTTTCACGACCTCATAGTCTGCAATGGAAAGCAGAATGGACTATCTTCCTCTTCTGCTGGAAGATCAAGATTCAAGCGCCTTGCACGACCTCATAGTCTGAAATGGAAAGCAGAATGGACTATCTTCGTCTTATGCTGGAAGATCTAGATTCAAGCGTCTTTCACGACCTCACATGTGGAACTTTTTGAGTGAATCGGACCGCAGTGCAGGTCAGATTCAGTCAAGAAATTCCAGTACTGAGTATGGCTTATGCGACCTGTCTGGCTACTTATGTCTGGTCTCCTGGCTGAGAGAGGGAGAGAGACGAGGGGGGGGGGAAGGAAAAGCTAGCGATTCTTTTGCTGCTTTTCCTCTCTGGTATTGCACCCACAAAGATAATTTTGGGCAGTGTGAAGTACTGTCTATGGCTAGGAAACCTTCAGTCACAGGCACTACTTTGGGAAAAACGGATGCTCTGCTCTAGAACATGTCCAGAGAAAACTGATTGCTGGCCGTGTGATTGTTCGAGGAGTTTCTTTTTTTCTCTTTTTTTTCCCCCTTCGAAAATTTGGACCTGGATTTATGTGTGTTATCCTTGCGCAGGGCCATGCTAATCTTCTCTCATCTTTCCAATTTTAATGGATGTCCCGAAAGATGTTCGAGGAGTGTTTCTTTGTTTTGTTTGTGTTTTCGTTTCTTTCAAGTTTGTTGAGCTGTAATGTGATAGTTCTCTGAAGTGCTGTTCAAAACGCTATTGCGTTTGCAAGCTCACACCTATTGTTGCTATATTGTATGCCCTGTAATGTGAGCAGGCTTTGATTTCCATCTCAGGACGCGTACGGTGCATACGTGCGCCTTGTGGTTCGGCAGTGACAGTGTCCTTGACTCCTGTCCCAAGCAACAAAGTGTCAGGAGGAACTGTATCCAAACAGTGGAATCATACGGTGGTCTTGGGGCCGGATGATTCCTTCATTTTCAAGGATGTGTATCCAGGGACCTACATTGTCACGGCCAAGCAGCCAACTTGGTGTTGGCTAAAGAGCAGCCAAGAAGTATCTGGCTTGGAGGATATATTGGGGGTCGAGTTCATCCAAAAGGGATATACTATGACAATAACTTCGATGCATGAGGTTTCTGCAGTAATAACCAGCAAACACTCAATGATCAAAGATGTGATCAAGGTAACTCTGCTCTAGTGTATGCACTTCTCTCTCTCTCTCTCTCTCTCTCTCTCTCTCTCTCTCTCTCTCTCTCTCTCTCTCTCTCTCTCTCTCTCTCGCTCTCTCCCCCCCCTGCCTACCTCTCTCCCTCATCACTTTTTTCCCCCTGTGAAACATTGAGTACACAGTTGCTAAATGTTGTGAAACATGTAGCTGATTGTTTGCGTGTGTGGAAATATGCTCCAGTGCTTACGCGCAGAAACTCAGAAGAGAAGTGTTTTTTTTAATAAAGGAGGATGATTGCATTGCTTCACTACAGGTCCGGTGTGATGACCCGTCCAAACATGGACTGAAACACACAGCTGATTTCTGAGTTTTGCTCATAGACTGAATGCCCTGCTGAGTTTCCCGCTTGCTACTAAGTCTGTGTGTGCACGCTCGCTGGACTGCATGTCTGTCTGAGTGCTGGTTGGCTTGATTGTGTGTTTGGCTGTGCCTGTCTGAGTGCTGATTGGATTGAGTGTGTGTGTGGCCGTGCCTTGAGCTGGTTGGCTTGAATGTGTGTGTGGCCCACAAGGGCACTTGCTCGTTCATTGGGCCCTCAGGGCCGGTACTTACCTGAGGGATGGCAGCAGGAAAAACACTCAAGTAGCAGGCAGGCCCGTACCGCACCCTGAAGGGGTAGATGTGCGGGTACTGGAGGCCGAGCAGAAGGAGACAAAAGTGGCATTTTTAGAGGCCCAGTAGTTGTAGGTCAGGTCTAGGCGGATACCAGTCCAACCAGTCTGGATCTAGGGCCTGTACGGTCAATATCAGAGTCTGCAATGATGTTTCCCTCCGAAAGGGAGGAGGTACCGGGTGCTTGGAAGGCCGAGCGGCCTGGAAGTCACCCCCCGAAGAGGCAAGCAGGCCGCTATATCTCCCAGCCGGGCGAAGAGCCCGGCCTCTTTCTCGGTGTGCAAGTTTGGCGACACACTGGTTGGAGCACCGGTTGGAGCAGCGCTGTCCAAGAGCAGCGCTGCTGGGGGAACGAGAAGGACACGGAGGAGGAAGAAGGACAGGAAGGGGGAGGAGCGCCAGGGGTACTTACCTGGCTATGGTGGCAGCCATCTTCATCACATTGGTGGGTGCTGGAGCAGGGAGTCCCCAACTGGGGAGAGCTACACCAAGAAGCTTCGAGGCGGGGTCAGGTATGGCGGCCTGAGCTAGAGCAGCCATAGCTGCTTTGGGTYGTCCTTTGGGCATCTGGGCAAGGCCTAGTAGTCCGCCATAGCCTCGGCCTATGAGAGTGAAGAGTGGGAGAGGCGGCCATGGCTATGGTGGACCTCAAGTGATACCTGCAGTAGAAGAGGAACTCGGACATTGATTCTGGATCAGCCATTCAACATTGTATTATTACTTCTTGTATGAATAAGAGGCGGGGGAGATAAGGAGGAGGAGATTGTTGGGCGAAGGAGAAGAGCCTTGTCATTTGTCTGTGCTGGTGTACATCTTCTTCTTGTAATCCTCTCTCTCCTCTCAAGTTCATTCATTTCTTTCTGCAATTGGACAGCATTTTACTGATGGATGTGTATCTCAAAATTGGCCAGGATCATAACATTGGTATCGGAGCGGATTCTACTTGCTGGTGAGAGTTGACTTTGCTGCCCTAACCCTAACCTAAGTGGATTGAGGGCGGGTTAGGGTTGGTTTGTGAAGGGAAGAGGGGCAGCGTGTCTGAGGGAAGCTGCCCCATCTGGTTAGGGCAGCGTGTCTGAGGGAAGCTGCCCCACCTGGTTAGGGCAGCGTGTCTGAGGGAAGCTGCCCCACCTGGTTAGTTCACGGAGGGTCGACGTTGAACCTAACCAAGTTGCTTGAAGAGTGACATTAGGGTGGCGAGACATTTCGAGGAGGCTTCATGCGGCGATTTGAGAGAGGCGACAATGAGAGGCACTCGCACCTGGAATCTGATTCAAGGGAGACACTTGGCAATTTAAGGGCTGCCCTCAAGTAGGCGAGCTTGAGGGTTAGCGGCCACTCAGCATTTACGGACTGCAAGTTGCTACTTTGTTCTTCAACATCGACGGGGGATCCGGCGTTGCACTTGGGTATTGGAGTCAGACCCTCCTAGGAGATAGGACACTGGTGTAAGGATAGCGTTAGAGGGGTCAGGAAGATGACATGAGAGGGGGGTGAGTTTTATTCATCTCGAAGCTCAAGCGGTGTTGCACTTGGGTATTGCAGTCAGACGCTCCTAGGAGATAGGACACTGGTGTAAGGATAGCGTTAGAGGGGTCAGGAAGATGACATGAGAGGGGGGTGAGTTTTATTCATCTCGAAGCTCAAAGCCACTCAGCTAAGTGCCGTGCACCTACGGGATGCCCATGTGTGTGTGCATGGTATGGTTTGTCCTGCTGGGGTTACTCTGGTTGCTTTTCCTACTCCTCTGTGGTCTTGATTGTGTGATTGAATGCATGTGATCGACCTACTCACCTGATGGATGGAAAATGAAGTATCTTGATCTAAATGTCGAGTCTTTCTACAGTGCTTTGTCTTTCATCTCTGAACCGTTGTAGTCTGTAGGTTGTGCCGGAAGTTAAAATTTCGTTTTTCAGTACAGAAGAAACTGAACTAAGTCCATGAGGGACTCCTCTTGGTTGGGACCTGGCCGCGACCTACGTGGGACCTCTGGAACTCAGTGCGACCGGGCCCAAACAAGAAGAGGGCCCTTTTGGGCCCAAATCGGTTAGGCATTAGCCCATTGTCTTCTGACTGTGTTACAGACTTCTTTCATCTTGGTTAGGACAGCCACTGCCGAGGGGATCTCGGCTAAGACGTTTTGCATGTCTTTTTGTTGCACTGTCCGTGGCTTGACTCGCATCTTGTGCACCACTCAATTCTCCATTGTTGCATTTAGTCACTCATTGTCTGGTTTGTTGTACGGTCAAGGAGCTGGTCAGATTGGACTCGAGAGGATCTCGTATGCAATCTGATTAGATTGGGTCGTTGGATCAGACCTCTCGTGTGAATTTGATTGTTTTGCTTTTGGTTTGTTGCTCTCTAAGTCTAAATGAAATGTCGCTCCGGCTAGGAGTTCTACCTTCTCTTCTCTAAGCTTTTCGATCAGTTTCTCTGAGTTCATTTCCGATGCCCGTGGAGACTCGCAACCAAAAACAAGAGAGAGAGAGGAGAGATAGAGAATAAGGAGAGAGGGAAAGTGACCTTCTGGAGTGGGTAAGGACTGGGAAAAGGAGTGTTCGTCCAAGTAAAAAAGGGAGTGTATCTCTTGAGAGTCTAATTTATTCTTTTGCTGATTGGCGTCTCTCTGACCCACCTGCCAACACTAACGGTCCGAAAATGGCCCAGATATCCTAAGGACAATGGCGGGCCCTATCAAATGCAGCCAGCGATACGGAGAAACCGTATCTGCAAACACTCCTAGATAGTGCTATAAAAAGGGAACAGGAAGAGGAGAAGGAGAGGAAGGAACAACTACTGAAAAGTCATCATACCACTCAGATCGCCGACATCCTCGCAAAATTGAAGACACTTCAGGAAGATCTGATTGATATGACCAGCAAGTACCACGACTTGATGGTAGAGGTTGTTGCGCTGCGACAGGCCCAAGTAACCAATCCTCTTCCTCTACCCCTTGGTTCCGGAGCTGCGATTGAGACTAATCTTGCCCCTCTTACCGTATCTACTTCTGCTACTTCCTTGAGTGTGATGGCGAACCCCTCTGGACCTGCGGCAGGTGCAGATTCCGCTGTTGTTGTAATCAGCAACGAGGCAGGAAACTCTGCAACTGCTGCAGGCCTACGATCGAAACCAGCAGTTGCTGGTCCCAGCTACGGTGGTCCCCATATGGACCGAAAGGCGGTGCAAATACCGTCTAAGTACGACGACAAAGAAGGCATTGAATCCTGGATCAGCTCCATGAGGGCATACTTTGAGGTATTGGGGATTCGGCTGAAAAACCAGTCAGTGATCATGGGAATGAATGTCGAGCCGGTTGTATGGGGCTTCCTAGAAGTCCAAGCTATGCGGGCTGGGGTTCCAAAGATCGATCTGACAAGGTGGCTTAAGGCCATTCCGGTTGCCTCCCTCGAGGAGCTCCTCATCGCCCAGTATGAGGATCCACACGCTTGCAGCAAGGGCAAGAACCCAGCTTGACAAAATCAAACGCAGAAAGTGGACGGGCTCCATGAAAAGCCTGCAAACCTATCTCAGCAAGATGTTTGCTACATCTGGTCTTGAACTAACTTACCAATCCTGCTTGGATGTGGTCAAGGGTGCAGTCCCCACCAGTTTTACTAATCGCCTACACAGGGACTTCATTGGGTATACTGACTGGTTCACTCTAATGAAGGACATAGTCAGTCTCGAGGCGGTAGACCTCGTCACCACAGCAGGCAGCAAAAAGCCCATGGGCGGCAGGCAGTTCAAAGGCAGCAGCCGTTTTGCTGTGCATGACCTGCTGGAGGCTGAAGAGGAGGCCGAAGCAGATAACCCCACTCTTGGTGACGACCAAGAACAGGACGCTAATGCAGCCTGTTCGTCAGCCCGTGAGTCTGATGTAAATCAAGAAGAAGAAAAATTTACTTCCTTTAAAAAGACTGCCAATGCAAGGGGATCGAATCGGGATGCGGGGAACAATTATGTCCAACTTCCCAACGGAGTCGAGATCCCAGCAAACCCAGAGGATGCAACCACTAAACCATGGGTCGATCTCCGGATCACTGAAAATGATTGGCGGGGTAGACTCAAGAAGGGGGTATGCCTGCATTGCCAGAAATCAAACCATAAAGTACAGGATTGCTATAGGCTGCAGGGAAACCAGACCCGGGCGTAGAGTCGACTTTAGCTCACTCTACAACAAGGGAGACTGAATCTGATGCAGATCAGCAGTCCTCCCTTGAAGCCCAATCATCTGCTGAAGCCAAGGCTGAATTGTGTGATGTGTTGTATGTCGAGCCTTGGGAGGAGTTTGGGACGATCGACTTCCACTGCCACTTGGAGCATTGGGCTGAGATTAAACAGCA